CAGGAGAAGCACCACAATTTATTACCTGCGATAATTAAAAAGAAAAAAAAAAAAAAATCTGGATTGTAATTTTGCATGCCAAGAAATCCTGACAAGTAGCCACACTATCATCTTTTGTTTTGTTGTTAATGAGTGCGGAAAAAAACATGCGCACGATTTTCTTTTTCCTAAATCCTCACCAATTATTGTTTGGACAATTTTATCAATGTTTAAATATTCTACAAGCATTCTAATTGTTAATTGAAGAAAACTTCAATGTTCGGCTTGTGCAAGGGTATGCTGTCCTTTTGTCATTTTTTATGTCATGTCTACCATCTTAAAATCTACCAAACCAAAAAAAAAAAAAAAAAAAAAAACCACATACACACATTAGAACATGACAGACACTCTTCATCATAAGAATTCTGCATCATTTGATAAGTTTCACTAGCAGTTTGCCAGTTTTAAAACAAAATTTTATCGCACATCTTTGTCGCAAATACGATTCCATTACAAACAGAAATGACATTCAAACACCAAATGATAATTTTCTCCAACTCGGTTCATCCTGCATGATTAGCAGACTAAAATCAAAATGTTTTTTTACTGCCTAGTTCCATTTGTTTCAAACAGACAATTAATATTCTGTGAGTCTTAAAACTTTTTGCCAGACCATGTATTATGAAACTTTTTATCAGTTCTTTAGCATTTTTATATTCATTTGTCTACAAGTTAAATATATATATATGTGTATTTATTGGGGGGGGGAAAAAAAAAAAGGCAGTGTATCTATGGAGCTGGGCAGTTTAAGCCCATATTCTCCAAAATCCTTATTTTAATAATAATACAGATAATATGTTACATTATTTTATTATTGTTACACCAATATATTGGTCTCTTACTAAGCAAAAATTTATGGACTAGATGTAACTGACCAAATTGATTATAGACTCTGTTGCAAAAAAATATATGTACGAAGAAAAAATTGAGCCACAACTACAAAACATGGCGTGCAAATGGGGTTTGGCGAGTTGAGTAGGTGATTAATCTTGCAGCACCAGTCTGCATTTTGGAGTGATACAATGTGCGTCTGAAGTGCACAGCTGATAGATAGAATGTAAAAGGGCAGGTGCGGGAAGTGACGAGCATTTACAACAAAGCTGATGTCTTGGATTAGGGGTCTTCAACCCATGGCCCCTGAAGACATTTTAGTGGCCCCACATTTGAATTTCAAGAAAAATTGCCATGTCGGCTTTTTGTCATAATTTGTTTTTCTTATTCTTGATATTTAAAACATTTTATTAACATGCATGATATTATTTGAGATAAGATTTTCTAAAAATGGCGAATTTTTCAAAAATTTCACATTATCTTATGTAATTTTAAAAATAAAAATTTTGACTATGCATAAACTCTTAATTCCATAAAAAGTGTAGATTTTTATTTCTAACAGATTTGAAACAGATGTCAATCTTTCGACTTTACCAAAGGTAACCTTCAACGTGCTGCTACTATAAAAGGGAGGGGGAATAAATTAACAGAATTTTGTTTCTCCTAATGTTGCAAAGGGAACAGTTGTTGTCAAAGGGAATGGTGATCAAAAACATCCTGTTTGATTTGGTGATAAGCAGGTTTTCTACAGTTGATTTTAAGCTAGGTTACTCATGCTCATTCCACATTCTAAAATTCAGAAGCGTTTATATTCTTTGAATGAGTATACAATGGCAAGCCGTGTTAACAAAAAAGAAAAGTTGAAAGAAAAGTGCAATTGTTTTTCAAGAAAAGTGGTCAGATCTTTATTTATTAATTTTTTTGTTCTATTTAAGTTTTCTTATTTGCAACGACAGTGTGGATGTGATGAAGGAATACAGCATTAAGAGACATTCTGATACTAAGCACAATGAGAAATATTCTGCATTGGAAGGTCATTTTCGAAGTGATAAGGTGAGTAAATTAGAATCTGAAAATAGTGTTCATGTTAGTTACATGATAGCAGAAAAAATTGCTAAGCAAGGAAAACCTTTTACTGATGTGTAATTTGTGAAAGCATCTCTTCAGAGTGCAGTGGATGTGCTTTGTCCATCACAGGCTGAAGTCATATTGAATATTAGCTTGTCTGGTGTGACAGTAGCGAGATGCATAGAGGATCTCGCAACAGATATATTCAGTAAATTAAAATCAAAATGCAAAAAATTTAAGTTTTGTTCTGCAGCGATGGATGAATCAACAGATGCGATAGTTATTGGACAAGTAGCCATTTTTTTCCATGACATTGATAGAGACTTCACAATTGTAGAGGAATTAACCAGTGTCGTTGCACTTAAAGGTACAGCACGAGAAACATATTTGTATTCGAGTCTGACACAAACTTTGGATAAATGTGAGTTAGACTTCAGCAATATATCAGCTATAATCATGGGCAGTGTTAAATCTCTGACTGGAGAGAAAATAGGAGTAACATTACTCAAATCTGATGTGAAGGCAAGTGAAAATAATGATGACTTTCCTCTGAATCATCTGCCAAGAAAATTTGTGTAAGAAGGTGCTTTTTCAAACTTTGAACATGTGATGAATGTTGTTGTTAAAGTGGTTAATATCATTCCATCTAAAGGACTTAATCACAGGCAATTTCAGCAGTTCTTGAGTGATTTGGAAGCTGAAAATTGTGTTGCGTATTACTCAGAAGTACATTGGTTAAGCCAAGGAAAGATGCTTCAGTGCCTGTTTTCTTTGAAGAACGAAGTTCAACAATTTGGGGTAGCTAAAGGGAAATCTATTCATGAGTTCAATGATAAGAAATGGTTGAGAGACTTTGAATTTCTAGTCAATATTACAGGTCATCTTAATGATTTGAACTACTGCTTACTGGGAAAAGATCTACTTGGTCATAATCTTTATCACTTTGTGAAAGCTTTTGAGACAAAATTAATCTTTTGGGTGTCAGTTGCTAAATATGAATTCCACTCTTCCAAAATTGATGGAGTGTGTGAAGAACTCTACAACATGGAATTCAAATAATTATGTAAATTGCATTTCAAGTTTGAAAGAAGAATTCAAAAACCGATTTTCGTGAAAACGAAATTTTTATCAGAATGTTTTCCTCTCCATTTTCAGTAAATGTTGGGAGTGTTCCACCTGAGCTTCAATTAGAATTTATAGATTTAAAGTGTGACTCTGCAGTAAAATGCAAGTTTCTTGAAAATCTTAGATTGATTTTTATTCGAATTACATGACTGAAGACAAGTATCCAGGAATTTGTGAACATGCTTTCTTTGTATCTTCTATATTTGGCAGTACCTATGTATGTGAACAGCTTTTTAATAAAATAAAAATCCTAAAATCAAAAACAAGAACACAGCTCACAGACAGACATTTGGAGGAAACTTTACGAATTGCAACAGCACAGATTAAACTGGATACTGAAGCTTTAATCAAGCAAAAACAATGTCAAATATCGCATTAAAGCTAAAGTAATTACATCTCCCAACAGTAATGTAAGTTTTTCTTCTTTTTTTAATTGTAAATGCATTTTGTAATGTCGTTCTGTACAATTATCTTTATACTTTTTTCATAGTTAAAAACATTTTAATTTGATTTCCATTTGACTTTTTGTAAGCAATGTATGTATATACACAAATCTGTAACATTATCTCTTCACTTAGAATCAGTTCTTGTCTTGCAAACCTCCCTTTTTTATGTACATTTTCTAACTACACTTTTTTTTTTTTTTTTTTTTTTTTTTTTTTTGGACAGACATGTGACTCTTTGTGAATTTATTAATGTCTTGGCCATGAAAGGTTGAAGTCCCCTAGCTTGGATATATGACATTGTAACAAAAGATGCCTTTAAGACATACTCAATGATATTATGAACAGTTGTCAGATTTTGAGAGGGGTTACATCATAGAGCTAAAAGAGGTCGTTTGGCTAAACAAAAATCAGCTGGCATACTAATCAAAGCTATATAGTTACTGTCTATTGTTGGAACCAGTGGCTCAGAGGAGGCATATTCTGCTGCTGTAGTGGCTCAGAATGCGACAGGGCCATCAGTACACAAGATAATCACATAGTTAGAAGACCTGCTACATCAGCATCAACATCTATCATCAATTCAACATCATTTGGCGACTCAAAGGGATCCCAGGATATCCAGGGATGTTATTTGCAAAAGACTGCTGATGCTGGGCTCTGATCTCAATGTCCATTAAGATGCTTGCCCTTGACACTTCACCATAAGCAGTGTTTTCTGGAAGCTGGATAGCATGCGAGTAGAGAAATATGATCTTCAGCACCGAGTCACACTTTTCTCTTAATGCTGATGACCACACCATACGTGTATGGGGATGGAGAGATGAGGTGTACAGTTTGTTACCGAGCAGAACACAGAGTATGACAGTCTGAGACAGCCATTCATCATTAGCCATGCAGCTGATCGTACTACCTACAACCTGTGCTAGCAGGTTGTCCTGGTTCTGTTTTCTAGCAAAAGCATGCTCTGCCACATACAGCATGACTTTTCCAACAATGTCTTTGACATGTTAATGACCTCAACTAGCCTGTCAGCTCTCTAGACCTATCGAGCCTGTTTGGAACATGTTGGGTAGGCAAATTCAGCTGTGTACAAATACATCACCATTTGCTGGCCAATTGCTTCATTTGTGGCGCAGTCTACTGTAGAGGAAAATTGGCAGCTTATTGGACTCCATGCCCAATTAAGTATTGGCTTATACAGTTGCTAGGGTAGCTTTACCACCTACCGATTTTCACATTCTTGTATTGCTACTCCTAAATAAAACTTTTTTGGGGGGGGTCCCATTTTTTGATCATTTGTTTATCTACTCAAACACTATACTACTGCCAAGTTTCATAGTTGTGACTTGCTTCTTTCGAGGTGCGTTTATTTTTTTAGAACAAAATGTGTATGGTAATTGTATTAAATTCAACTTGTGTGATATTCAACAACTATTAATTTATTAATTTACTTTGAATAATTTTTCAAATTTATATTTGCCTTTTTTGTAGGTAGGCTCTGATTATGATTTAAAGGAACAAGTTTTTCGAAACTTTGGTAGAATTCTGGGCCCTTTTTCTGAACCAGGCCTAATTCATAAATGGGGTCCTGGACCACAATTTTCAGCTACATTTGTATGGGTCGATCCTACCAATACTGTAGCTGGATCTTATGAAGTTAAGATTGATTCTGGAAATCAGGTAGATTTCTTTTAAATATATATTTAAATTTATTCTTGTGTAAAATCATTTTTACATTTAATTCCTTGTCATTGTATAGTCAATAATGTATGCCAATAACAAGCTAGCATGTTAACTCAAATAAGAGATGATCATCTATACTCTTCTGTGTATTGAATGTTATTGCATTATATGTTTTGTATATGAGATGAAGGCATGCAGACTTTCCCTCTTATAATGTACATACAAAATTGCATAGTAACCTTTTATGTATGAAGAGGAATTGTAATTGAGTCCAGTGTATCCTCCATCTGATGATGTTATATCAAAGTTAATTGGATTCCTCTTCTTTCATGTTCTTTTTTTTGTTTTTTGTTGTGATGGTTTATTTAAATTTTTCTTTTAACATTTATAGAATTCTTCTTCTACATTTAAAGGCTTTATTAAAATTTACTGATATTTCAGTTTTTGGTCTTTGTGAAAAATTTCTTTCTTTATATATACAGGGTAATTCTAAATTGTTTTTAAAAATTTAGAGGGGTGATAGTACTCATCTAGATAAGCAATAATTACCATAGAACATAGGGTCACATTACACTCGGAGAGGCAGAAAAGAGGAATATTAGATTTCAAACTTGAAATTACAGCAAAGTTGGAAGAGCGAATGAACAAGACCAAACATTGTGCAATCAGTTTAGCGAAAAACTCGCATACTCATCAGAGAGTGCACAAATTTGATAAAACTGAAAACTTGGCGTTCGAGTGTCAACTCGAGCTCAGACATTGATGGCAAACACTCATGCACATCTTTGGTTCGCAAGGTCTCATTCTTGCAAATGATTGCAATAATTTAATTATCTAATCAAAGGCTGAATGTTATCAACTAACTCCAACTTCCACTGTATGCCGAGATTAGCATGAAAAGTTCATGCTATGTTCCAGCTGTCAGAACTTTTATGTGCCATAGAATGGCGCTTCAAATAGAATGAGCACAGCACAACAAGTCCAGGAGGACAAGATAGAAGATGCAGAGTTCATACAGTCCTTAAAAAAGTCCTTAGATTTTTTGGAATCGATTTTTGATCCTTAAAAGGCCTTAATTTTGTCCAAAATTGGCAGAAGGTCCTTAATTTTAATCATTTGAAATTTCTGTTTGTTTTTACAACTGCCATTTTGAGTGTGAATTAACGTTTTGGAGGAATATTTTTGGCGATTCACTGACATATATGGTTATCTTTTAAATGGGTTCATGGTTTATAATTTGTTTCTATTTCTAATATAATATAAATGATGGGATACTCGAGTTTCTAAGCAAGAAGTGAAACATAAGCATTTCAATATTCATTTTTTCTAATAAAGAGCTCTTGAACAACTTTTTGCTTTGGGGATGTGAATCTTTTTATTAAACGGTTTTAAATTTGGCAACTTATCGATGTTTTGGCGATTTTAAGACTAGTTTCTCTAGAAAATTTTTGATTCTGAGATATGAGAATTTTTTTACCATTTTTTTAAAACATCGTAACATTGATAAATTTAATTAAAATAATGGTAATATATTGAAATTATATTTAAAAATTAACATTAAAATAAAACATTATTATTTTTTGCTGTCATATTATAAAGTTTCATTTTGGCAACTTAATATACAATATTTTTAATCTGAAAAATAAATAAGGTACAATGTTATTAAGCACAATTTACAAAACAGCTCTTAGCAAAAGCAAAATTAGCTATGTAATTAATTAATAAGTCTTCTTTTTAATTTTTTCATAGTAAGAGTTCCCATGTGATTGTCTCAGAAAATTCATAATTCTCAGAATATGCACCAGTTTTCTCTATAAAATTAATTTTGTAATTTTCCCTCCCTTTTTTTTTTTTTTTTTTTTTTTTTTTTTTCCCACAAAATATTTTTGGCTTTTTTCTGTTTCAGAATTGGTAGGGATAATTTTTCTGTAGGATTTTAGACATTGCAGCTTGGAAAGTGGTAGGGATAATTTTTCTGTAGGATTTTAGACATTGCAGCTTGGAAAGTTTAGAAGGATTTGAAGGCAAGATTTATAGACCCACAATTCTAAAAGATTCGTGAAATATGTGGCTAAATGAAAAATGTCTCCGTGGTATCAACACGTAATGGATGTAGTTTACAGAAAATTTGCAGTGAATTTCTTACTTTTTGGAGAATGTCTGAAAGAACAATGAAAACATAATATTTGAATGTTTTACTTCTGATATTAGAATCTTGTTTATCTTCCCTTTATTTTCTCTACTTTTCATTAGACAATAGTATGGAAAATATCAAAAATGCTTCTTATCACACGGGCAGACATTATAGATAGGGATGTTTTTATTAATAAATAAATTGAAAGCTTACAATTTAAAATATTCATTTAATATTTGTTAATGCATCATACTAAGCTGGTACACATTTTTCCACCTGATGCAATCTCTGTGGATCCTAAATTTTGCTGCCTAGTGCCCTTCTAAATTCTGCTTCCAATGCCTGCTCTAAATTCTAAAAGTTTTGCCATTTCTAGATTTTGTTGTTCAGTGTGTCACTAAATTCTAAAAATTCTGCCACCATCAGCTCTGTAACCGGCCTTTACCACATATATTTTATATTTCTTCTGAAGAAATAAAATTAGCTGCATTTTGTATAAATTCTAAATGCATTTAGTGTTTTTTAGAATAACAGAAATCCTTAATTAAATCCAAAAATTCTAAAATGAAAAGAAAACGTGTTGAAGAAAGAAACTGAATACATAAAGAAAATTATTCTTCAAAGATATGTGCACTTATTAATATGTAAATTACCGAATTGTTTATCAAAGCCTTTATTATAATTTCTCACTTCTATTTCCTCATGTGATAGAGTTACTGAGCCAAATTAAATTTTATAATCTGTGACCACTAGTCCACATTTTTAGTTTGAATTAGACTGTTCTTGTTTAATTACGTCACCGTGAGCTGTAATTAATTTTGACCACTAATTCATATTTTTAGTTTGAATTTGACTCTTCTTGTTTCATTACATCACTATGAGCTGTAATTGATTTTGTTAGCATAAGAACATGCCTTTATGTTCTAAGTTCTTTTTCAATAAGAAGCTTATTTAAACCTTTGTCTGATATTGTAACTACTTTCAGGCATAGCGATAATATGCTTCACGTCTGTCGGGGTTTTAGGACTATTTAACTTTTACCAGATCAAGTAAACCCTCATAGGTACATTGTGGAGAGGTTGACAAATTAGGACAAAGAGCACGCAGAAACTAGCGAGAGCATTGGTTTGCATATTGAGGCAAATCTTTAATTGTTAGAAATGATGCTTAAAAAGAAGAAAATCTATATAAAGTAGCTAAAATGTTTGGAAAAGCTTCAAATTAAAATGACGAATAAATATTTCTTTGAGTGTTGTTGTTACAAAACATAAATGTTTTGTAGCTTTTAATGTGTTTTAATCCTAATGTCTTACATTACATGTATTTTAAACTGTGAAATATTATTAGATTTTGATTTTAATAGGGCTTTTTTTAACAAATATTGTTAAAAAATAAAATTGAATAGTGGCCATGTAAATCCATAATGACTAAGGTTATCAAACTACCTAATTTAATTATATATAACTAACTGCTTACCCTTAAAAATTATCTTTACATATTAAAAAAAGTTATTGCCTTTCATTAATACTCACTGTGGTCACAAGACATAACTACATTTGCTAAACATAAATGTCAGCTTTTAATGTGTAATTATCCTAACATCGTTTAAGAATCAATGTCTTAAATTACATGTATTTTAAACCAGATAACAGTTTGTGATTTTTAATTGTGCTTTTTAACAAATATTAAAAAAAAAGAAATATAATAGTGGCCATGATAACGACTAAGGTTATCTACATACCTAATTTAATTATTTATAACTAACTGCTTATCCTTAAAAATCATCTTAAAGCAAGTTATTGCCTTTTATTATTCTTTACTGTGTCACAAGATAAAACACAAAAATGTAAAAATTCACTTGAAACTTATTCTTTGCATCTAGTGAGACTTAAAATTAATACAAAACAGTTTATCACCTCTGGTGCTTTCTGGCTTATTGGAACTTTAAAGTATATCAACTGGGTTACAATCCCTGGAACTCTACACGAAGCTACGACACTAACTGCATCAAACAAAGCCTGATTAACTTTCAACACTTGCCAACTGTGCCTACATCAGGCCTTTCAGGTTTGTTCTAATTAGCAGGTCTCTCTCTAGACAAGCAGAACATTCAGCCTTTTCTTATGAATCATGCTGATTATGATCTTACTTCTCATTTTAGCCTATGCCATTTGACGTAAAATCTACGTGCTATTTACTAAGCCTCTAGACTGACCAAGTATGTGACAAAATGAGACATAAAAAAAGTCAACATAAAGCTAGCTGTTAGTAAAACATAAATGTAAAATATTTAATGCTATTTGATAAACTGCATAAAGTTTATTTTATTCTCAAACTTATTAATAATTATGTTAATTAATTTATGTTTAGTAATAATGCATACTACTTAGGGATTTATTTCATTTTTAGGATGGTATTACAAAAGTGAAATCAGAAATGTGTACGAACCCTGAAGATGGCGAACGGGAAAAAAACTGCTACCTTGATAGCAGTTTTTTAATTGAGATAGTTTTTTTAGTTCAAATAATATTCAGCCGTTGATTAGATAATTAACTTGTTGGAATTGTTTGCGAGGTTGAGACCTTGGCAACCAGATATGTGCATTTGAGTGTTTGCCATTAAAGTCTGAGCTCAAGTTAACTCTCGAACGCCAAGTTTTCGGTTTTATCCATTCTATGCACTCTCTGTGAGTTTTTCACTAAACTGATTGTGCAACTTTTGGTCTCGTTCATTCTCTCTCTTAACACTGTTGTAGGTTCAGGTTGGAATTCTACTATTCCAGTTTTCTGCCTCTCGGAGTGGAATGCAACCCTATGTTTTATAGTAATTATTGCTTATCTGAATGAGTATTATCACCCCTCTT